TAAGACAAGTTTACATCAAACTGATTTTACTACTTGACACCTCCCATGCTTCTTGCACAGTTCACAACATTTTGGCCATTTCATGTCAATCTCTTTCCTCATCTTTTCCCATTACTGTGGTCACCGTAACACTGGTTTTCAGGACCTGAACCGGTGGACAAAATTTAGACAGCATAAAATTGTACCACACATCTAACATCCTTGTGTCAGGATTTTCTGCATTCACCTCTCTTTAGTTTTATGGATTCAGTGTTCATTAATTCTCAGTACATTTCTTCTTACAGTTTGGCCATCCCAAAGGCATGTCTGTTTTTCAAAAAAACACCATCAGTTCTCAGGGTAAAGTTGCCAAAGTATACGTAGGTGGTGACATTTTCCAATGTAATCCTCATACGTATCAATTATCACAAGTTATCCAGATAACATATTTTCATTTAACTTATATTTTTCCACTACATATTTTTCAAATTCTAGCGGGTACCTATTGCTGCCATTGGTCATTCACCATGCCTTTATCTTACTCTCATTTGGACTTCTTAGTATGTAAAATGCCAGATGAAACCAATCACTGCTGTCTACTGCAGTCACAACCAAGATTGTAAACTTGTTACATCCATGACAAATCCGTTGTAAACAATGTGAAAGAAACAAAGAAAATTCTTTTCTATACCATCATGCTGTTATAAGCAAGTCCCATGAAGTACAAGAATGTTGGAGACTTCACTTTGAAACCCATTTTGGATGAGTGAAAAGTTTTCTCTTTATGTGTTGTTAAGATCAAGTTTCACTGTAATCACATTGTATACTTAATTTTTTGCCATGTTCATCAGCCCATGAGATATCTGAAGAATTACTTTTGTAAAGTAGCAAACAAGGTCTCAAATTTGACTTTTGTGTCAGTACCTTACTAGTGCATCTGAAAACTTACTCAAAACAAATGTTATCAATCTTTTGGCCATTAACTCAACACTGCACAGCATGTTGATAAGGCCTTAACATCATATTCTCTGCAGACAAGTGATGAAAAATGCATTAATTTCAGTGGGTTATTTTACATTTGAAAGGGACAGGGCCCCTATGAATTGACTATGTTCTACATAAAGAAGAGAAGGTATAATTAACATTACATAACTAGAGCCCCACAGTATACACATGCAAGAGGTGATATCCTGAGTGTGTGAGCAAGGGAATATAGAGAAAGCCGTGACACAATTATTATGAGTATGGAAGAAACTATTCAAGCCAGGACTCACCAATCCTGAGTAAGACATATGGAAACTATTGTAAACATATTTTATGCAATGTATCTCACACACCAGTATAGCCGATTCATCCTCCAATATTAGATCGAGAAAGTAAATAGTTCAACTGAAATGAAACGAAACCAAAATTGATTTATTTATAATGTTTATATTATTTCCAAATTAGAGAGCTATTCCTGATGATCAACTGTAGAACTTCTTAAGATCCCAAATAATTAATTTGGAAAAACATTCTCACTTTTATTACATGGTATGGCTTACCAGCGTACTCTGTGTTTGTATTTCAGTGTTCACACATCCCTACTTATTTTATGTTCCTAAAGCTAAACTGGGGCAAGCACATCCTGCAAATAATAATATATGAGATCACAATACACAAAAATGGGTTTTGGAAAAGTTGCAAAATAAATCCTTTGTTGTTATGGCAGTAGCAGTTTTGTAACCAACTTAAGTTACTGATAGTTAATACACTTGATTTCATCAGTCTCTTAATGTACTGTATTAAAATTGTCACACCAGCATAATAAATACTTAACGAAAACTACACTTTCACTCTGCTGCTAGAATGGGAGATTACAATAACACAAGGGATGTAACAATAATACTTCTTTCACTACAAAATCAGGAATCTTCGGACACCACACCTTGAGATTTGACACACACTTTCATATGAATTTCCTTCAACTACCAAAACACGGATGACTGTCTCATCCACACATGGGACGCAAGGGGTAGAAACACATAATACAGTAATGCTAAGTAGTTTCTTGCAGGTAAGTGTTGTTCTTGAGACTAGATATTGATCCTCTTATAAAAATCCATACCATTCTGAGTATTTGATAAGTAATGAGAAAAAATATCTTGCTGCCAAGTAGGCTTCAGCAGCCTTGGTCATGTTAAAATCCCCTCTTGGTAACTGTTCTGCAACTCTTACCAAGTTGCAATATATTGCAAATCCAATTCAATGTGCTGCAGAACATGTAAGTTGGTAGGATTCTAGCATGTTTTTGTAAAAG